TCGGGGAGCCCCTTTGGCTAATTTTCCAAGGGACACGAGGAAGTCAATTTAGGGGTCCCCTCATTTTGAAGTCTCTGGTGCAGGACGATGAGCCTCCCGCCAAGGAAGCCAAGGAGCCAAAGTCGGGCTTTGACTACTTGCAAGACGCTTAAGCTGGCCAGGGGTGGTTGCCAAATTGGTTCAGACAAATCGACCATGGCTCCAACAATAGCGGCTGAAGCATGTTGAAGCAAGCGGTTCGCCCAATCCTGCCGACCAACTTTGAATGTATGGCCTTTGGATCCTGAGTCAGAGTGGGGATTCGTTTTGCAAGCCCTTGTCCACTATTTCGACGATTGGTAGAAAGGGAATCCACACGGAATCACCAAATGTTTTGGGCCATCCACGCTTCGAGGCTGGGCATGGCGATTTGGTCCTTGACCCATGAGCGAGTTGAGGATCTGAGGACCGCGCAGCTTCCGCGAGGGTTCGAAGGGTGTGCTTATATTGGTTCGAATGCTCGTGTTTTTTTGGGGTAGCCTTTTGGGGTGGTTCCCCCTATTCGACAAATATCCAAATTTCCCGCTTCAAGGCCGGTTTTCAACAGAGCCTTGTGGGTCAATACGTGAAACTTGATTTTCACAAGAGACAAAGAGTTGGTACGCGTCGAATTAGGGAGGCGGCTGGCTGGTGTTCGTTGTTTGGCTTCCATTTATACCATCCCCACAAAGGGTACCGATAGAATAGTGTCCATGTTGGATTCTGGAGCTTGGGACCCAATGGTACTCCTGCAGAATGTTGCGGGCAGGTAATTTCGGCAGGAAGCCAATCTTGGCTTTGAGACGTTCAAACAAATGTTGCTGTGCAGGAAGCAGTTGAAGGAGAAGACCACTCAGCTCACGGATCTCCAGAACACCTCTCCTGAGGCAATTTTTACTCGGTTTTCTTCTCGTATTCGATCTCAGAGTGTGGAGCCTCGGTTCGAGGCTCTGTGGGAGAGGGATCTGGACGCCATTGTCTGCGAGCTGGACCGGATGGACGAGGAGGAGGCCTGGCAGCCGGGCCGGCTTATCAGAAACCTAATATGTGCCATGGTCAAAATACCCATTTACTTGGTAGGTTGGGAGTGATCATGGACCCCCACATTGAGGATTTTAGACAACCATCTGCAAGGGTTCCCATTACAATTAGTTTTGATCGTGGCGCATGGTGGCGCGCGGTGGCACGTGGTGGCGCAGCCTTTGCCGAAGGAGGAGATGAAGAAAGAAGAAGGGCGACTGAGGCCTGTGCTGTCCTGGTGGTGTCAAGGGATGGCCACGCCGTTGAACTCGGACAAGAGCTCCAAGGATCCGTGCAACATATCCTTATGATATCCTTATGTTGAAATAATTTGATTTGGGATCTATGTAGAATTTGGTTCGGTTTGGTTTCCTCTTGGTATCCTTTTGGCTCCTGGTTTTTTCATGATCTGAAACCGTCGCACTTGTCCCGGAAGGTCTGGGAAGCGCACCCGGAAGCCGAAGGCGGCGGCTCGCAAAAAGAAGGCCGGAGATGCGGAGACGTTTCGGTTCTTCAGGAAGTGGGCACATTTTGAGGCTCGACTCCCTTGGGGATGCTTCAAGGGAAGCCAAAGGGAAACCACCCGTTCCCTCAGAAAAAAGACAAAGTGGCAATCATTCTAACTTGTTTCCTCAGTCAATCTGCTCACGTTGGATGTCTCCTTTCAGGTTTTGCTTTCTGAACTGGGGGCAGGTTGTGTTTGGTGCTGAGGAGGAAGAGGAAGAGGAGGATGCTCCCATGGAGCCAGACGATGAGGAAGATGAGCAGGAGATAAAAGAAACCGCTCATTTTTCAGGGTCCACCCCACCCTAGCCAAACAAGCAAATAAATATGCAGACCACAGCATGTAGAGGCGAGCATGTGTATGGTCAAAGGAAGTTTAACAAGAAACTTCCGTAGTACTGGAACTAAATGAGCTAGCTGCTTTGACATATAGCTATGACAGGTAGCTAGCATGACAAATAGATAGCTTTGACATATAGCTAGCTTGACAGATAGATAGCTTTCCAATAGGCTTGCATGACAGATAGATGGCTTTGACATATAGCCAGCTTAACACGTAGATAGCTTTCTCAAGTATAGATTTCGTGGCAGGCGCAGCACTTTCGCAAGCACTCTCTGCGAGCTGGGGGATGGCAAGATGCAGAAAACGTTGGCGCTGTGCGTGAATTGGGCTTCCGGACTGTGCGCAAACCACCTCGGCTGCGACGCCTGTACGGCGGCGGTCTCGGAACGGTCTCGGAACGGTCTCGGGTTCGGAGACGGGCCCATTGGCACGGCCGCGCGAAGGTTTCGCAAGGTTTGAATTGCGTGGCAGGCGCAGCACTTTCGCAAGGTCAAGTATAGATTTCGTGGCAGGCGCAGCACTTTCGCAAGGTCAAGTATCGATTTCGTGGCAGGCGCAGCACTTTCGCAAGGTGCTGCGTCCACTCTCTGCGAGCTGGGGGATGGCAAGATGCAGAAAACGTTGGCGCTGTGCGTGAATTGGGCTTCCGGACTGTGCGCAAACCACCTCGGCTGCGACGCCTGTACGGAGGCGGTCTCGGAACGGTCTCGGAACGGTCTCGGAACGGTCTCGGAGACGGGCCCATTGGCACGGCCGCGCGAAGGTTTCGCAAGGTTTGAATTGCGTGGCAGGCGCAGCACTTTCGCAAGGTCAAGTATAGATTTCGTGGCAGGCGCAGCACTTTCGCAAGGTCAAAGTATCGATTTCGTGGCAGGCGCAGCACTTTCGCAAGGTGCTGCGTCCACTCTCTGCGAGCTGGGGGATGGCAAGATGCAGAAAACGTTGGCGCTGTGCGTGAAATTGGGCTTCCGGACTGTGCGCAAACCACCTCGGCTGCGACGCCTGTACGGCGGCGGTCTCGGAACGGTCTCGGAACGGTCTCGGAACGGTGGTTAAACGGTCTCGGAACGGGTTCGGCGACGGGCCCATTGGCACGGCCGCGCGAAGGTTTCGCAAGGTTTGAATTGCGTGGCAGGCGCAGCACTTTCGCAAGGTCAAGTGTAGATTTCGTGGCAGGCGCAGCACTTTCGCAAGGTCAAGTATCGATTTCGTGGCAGGCGCAGCACTTTCGCAAGCACTCTCTGCGAGCTGGGGGATGGCAAGATGCAGAAAACGTTGGCTCAAATGTAGTTACTTTCGTGACTTGGGCATTTGGCACACCTCACACCTGACCACGCAACTTGTCACACTTTACTCAGCCCCACAGTCAGTCAAGCGCTCCAAGGGATGTTGTTTTGTGTTGTTCTGTTTGTGCAGAGAGTCACAGTCTGTAAGCAGTATTAGTGGCGCCCGTGTTTCCCCTCAGGGGGACTTTTTACAGACTACTCAGAAAATCAACAACGCATACGACTTTTTTTCAGAGGTTGGTGCTTCGGCCGGCCGCTTGCGCACCCGCTACTCAGGGCAGCTTGGCGTTTCGGCCGGCTGCTCGCGCCATGGATCGCGATGACAGCAACACTAGTGAGGACCGCTTTCAGGTCCTGTTGACCTACCTGGCGGCAAACGCCGCAGAACTGCGACAGCTGCAGTGCCAAGACATGGCCTCGCTTTTGCGCACTGGCGAGGCCAGGCGAGGCAAGCCGGCCATTCCAGACAGGGCCGCCTTATACCGGTTCCTTCAGAGACAGGGCCACGCTTTTACAGAGGGGCAGAGGGAGGAGCTCCGGGCATGGGAGGCTCGGCTGTGCGTGTCGCCCAAGCAAGCGCAGCCAGAGCTCCAAGATCAGTATGAAAGGTTTCTCGCGCTGCTTGAGAAACGAGCAGATTTTTTTATTAGCTTGCGCAAGGTGTCTTTGAAAGCTTTATTTGAAGTCCACGCAGCGAAGACCGACAAGGAGCTTCGGTTCGGCAAAAACTTCATGCTTCGCTGCTACCCACAGCTTTCGCAGGAGCAGATGGACGAGCTGGCCGAGTGGGAGGCCATGCTTTGTGACGCTGGCGAGGGCGAGCGCTTGGCGTTTCGGCCGGCGCTGCAGCGACAGCTGGCGAAGTTTATCGCGGTGCTCGAAAATCGAGCTGAGTACTTGCAGAGCTTGCAGAAGCCTTCGCTTAAAGCTTTGTTTGAAGCGCACGCCGTGAAAAATGATAAGGAACTCAAGTTCGGCCAAAATTTCATGCTTCGCTGCTACCCACAGCTTTCGCAGGAGCAGATGGACGAGCTGGCCGAGTGGGAGGCCATGCTTTGTGACGCTGGCGAGGGCGAGCGCTTGGCTTTTCGGCCGGCGCTGCAGCGACAGCTGGCGAAGTTTATCGCGGTGCTCGAAAATCGAGCTGAGTACTTGCAGAGCTTGCAGAAGCCTTCGCTTAAAGCTTTGTTTGAAGCGCACGCCGTGAAAAATGATAAGGAACTCAAGTTCGGCCAAAATTTCATGCTTCGCTGCTACCCACAGCTTTTACAGGAGCAAAAGGACGAGCTGGCCGAGTGGGAGGCCATGCTTTGTGAGCCTGGCGAGGGCGAGCGCCTGGCGTTTCGGCCGGCGCTGCAGCGACAGCTGGAAAAGTTTATCGCTCTGCTCGAAGATCGAGCCGAGTACTTCCAGAGCTTGCAGAAGCCTTCGCTTAAGTCTTTGTTTGAAGTGCACGCCGTGAAAAATGATCAAGGCCTCAAGTTCGGTCAAAATTTCATGCGCCGCTGTTACCCAAAGCTTTCACAGGGGCAGAAGGACGAGCTGGCCGAGTGGGAGGCCATGCTTTGCGAGCCCGGCGAGGGCGAGCGCTTGGCGTTTCGGCCGGCGCTGCAGCGGCAAGTGGACCGATTTGTTGCCCTGCTGGCGAGCCGCCGCGCAGAATTCCTGCAAGAGAAAGAATCTTCTCTTGGCGCGCTGTTTCGCGCTGCCCGTCGCGGCCGCGACAAGGACTGGAGGTTCGGCCACGAGTTCGTGTCTCGCGTGCTGCCGAAGTTGTCAGCAGAGATGGCGGCGCAGGTGCAGCAGGCAGCAGCTTCTTGCCTATGCCCGACAGAGAGGGCGGCGCGCAAGGCTCCGCACGAGCCCAAGCTGCATGTCGAGGAGTGCGCGCTCGGCGACGACTTGCCTCGCCCGCGGCTGCCAAAGTGCTTGCGCCAGCTATACGGCGACAGCTTGGACGCGGAGACCCGCGTCCGAACCTTCTTCCACCGAGTGCACGAGGTGGACACGTTTTTGCAGGAGCAAGAGTTTACGGCCTGCGAGTACTGCAAGGAAGGGTGGTTCGGGACCACCCGGCCACGCGACGCCCTGCCGGGCCAGGTCGAGACCGCTACCTTCAAGAAGAGCAACTTTATCCTTGCGCCAGAGAAGGACTGGCTGGAGCCCGGCAAAGCAATATGCCGCAACTGCCTGTCAGAGGCTGTGGCACGGGCCAAGGAAGGGCTCCCCAAAGCGCCCGTCCGCTTCACTGCGGAGAACCTTGCAGACCCGGGGGAGTCTCTGGCAGAGACCGACGCGCTCACCTTCTTCGAAGAAGAGCTGCTGTCGCCGATACAGCACATCGTGCGCATCTTCACGCTGCACGCTACTGGGCAGTGCGAACTGCGTGGCCATGTCGGCAACTTGTTTCAGAATGGCCCGCAGTGCGTGCGGCAGATCCCGGCCCTGGTCGGAGACACGAAGATGCTTTTGGTTCGGCGCTGCCCGAAAGACCCGGCCCGCAAGCAGCGTGTGCCTTTCCTGGCGTCCCGCCAGCGACTTGAGCAGGCGCTGGACCGCATCGCACGGCCGGCCGCGGAAGGCGGATCGCTGGCGCTGCAGCCGGGCGCGCTCACGCCAGGCGGCTACGTGGACCTGGTGAGCCGCGAGAACCTGGCTCAATTCGAAGACTCTCCGGAGGGCGCAGAGCCGGTCGGCTTGCAGGTGACTGTCGTCGAGCAGCAGGAGGTCACCAGCTTGGGTTACAGCTTGTTTGTGGCTGAGTTCTTCCCTGGAGCTGCAGTTGGCCGCGCAAGTGAGGGCGCTGCACGAGCCGGCTGACGTGGAAGATCAGCTCCAGCGGCAGCAAGCGACATGGAATGCGCTCCGTCGCGCGGTGCGCAGCTTCGTTTTTGACGAGGAGCTCGACTCCCCGACAGCGGCCGCGGCGCCCCAGACGGGCGACCCTGGCGACCGACGGCTTGCCGCTTCGGGCAGCCGGCCGGATGCAACCCCGCGCCAGGACTCAGAGGAGCGGAATGTCGCCTCAGACGGCCTTGGCGACGGAGGGCTTGCCGCTGCGGGCGGCCTTCCGACTGCAGCACCACGGAGAGACTTACTCATAGCGGACTTGGTAATGTACCTCAGGTCCGTCGTGGTGCGGAGCGGCGAGTTTTCCGTGGAGGAAGTGCTTCTTGATGGGCTCACCGCGGTGCAAGAGCTGGCCAGTTGGCAGGAGCCACTCACCTCCGTGGGCCTTTGGTCTCCTGAAGATCTCGCAGGCCAGCAAACCGAGACGACCATGAAGGACGATCTGTGGCAGGCGCTGGAAAGCGCGAATGCATCTGCGCCGCAGATGCGCACGGCCGCTCGCTTTGGCGCCGCACGCATCCCGGGGCTCCCGATCCTGGACCCACCGACGGTGCAGTCCCGGAACCAGCTGATCTGTCTTTCTGGGAGTGGCTGCAGCATTTGCTGCTGCATGCGGATGGCCGGTTTCAAGCGCACCCGCGCTTTTACTTCTTTGCGCTGAATACGGCCTTGCGCAGCAAGGCGCTGCGGTCTCGCAGCTACTTTGTGAAGCGGCAGACTGGCATGAACGCCAACGTGCCGCACACCAACGAGGAGCTCTTGAGGATGGGCAAGGCGCAGTTCAC